TGATAGCAGTTTTCCAATATCTCAGGGGTTCCAACAAAGAAGAGGGAGCCAGGTTATCCCCCAAGGCACCTGAGGGTAGAACAAGAAGCAATGGGTGGAAACTAACCAAGGAGAGAAGCAACTTAGAACTGAGGAGAAATTTCCTGACAATAATTGTTTCCCAACCAATCTAAAACTGCATTTCATAGTGCAGATAGAAGGGAGAGACTGGCTTGTCTAGAAGCTCACAATAACCCTGACAGGACCGAAAGCCAGCTGGTCAACCCCCTGAAGAATCACGGCTAGACCCCGACCTTAGACACGCCAAGAGGCCATTCCTTCTCACCTGGAAACCGCGCCTGGGAAGGGAGACGTCCCGCTTGCCTCTCGCCCTGTCTGGGAAGCCCGGCTCCGCCAGGCGCGAGTTTTCTGTGGGAAGTGGGTCGCCGGAGGCTAGGCAGTTATATCTTTCCAGGATCAAGTTCAGCAAGACGGTGCGCTCGGGCAACTTGTCGGGCACCCGACGCTTGCAGTTGGGACATTCCGGCTGGCCCTCTGCGACCCATTTTCGGATGCAGTGCAGGCAGAAGCTGTGGCCGCATTGCACCGTGGCCGGGTTGCTGAGCAGTTCCAGGCAGATGGAACACTGCAGGTCATCCGTCGCCAGCAACACGGGCATCGGCTCCTGGACAGCAGAAGCCATGGTTAGATCCTTCGCCGACGGCGCCCCGGGGCCACGGAGTTTCTTCCCACCCTGCGCTGCCCACGCCCGCTGGGCCGCTTTCCCTGGGAGGGCGGAGCGGTGCGAGAAACAAAACAAAAACCGGCGGCTTAGGCGGAACTCACCCCGGCTGGCTTCACACAGAACCGAAACGACACGGATCGTGTTATTCTTCGTTGTCGCTGAGATGGAAGACAAGGACCTTCCATGCATGCATGCCTGCATGCCTTCTGGCCAGTTTTTGACTTCTGGCAACTACCTGGTTTGATCCCTGAGGTTTTCCTGGCAAGTCCCAAAGGTGGTTTTTCCAAAACGCAATTGGATTTTCTAGTTTTTCTTTCTTTTAAGCCATTTCGCTTTTCATCCAAGAAGCTTCAGAGCTTCTATGAAATGTCTTCAAAGAAAGGAAAAATCGGAAAGTCCAGTTGCCTCTTGAAAAAAAGCCACCTTTGGGACAACTATGACCTGGATGACTGAGAATCTCCATAGACATTTTCCTGGTAAGTTTTTCCGGAAGTGATCAGAAATGGTATAGGCAGGATCTCCTGCTTGAGCAGGGGGTTGGACTAGATGACCTACAAGAACCCTTTCAACTCTGTTGTTCTGTATTTCTAAGTGGTTTGTCAATGCCTCCTTTTTAGGGTTGAGGGAAAGTGACTAGTCAGGTCACCCCTAAGGCAGAATTAGAACTGCAGTTTCTTAAGTACTGTAAATACTGATAGAAGAGGATATTTGTACCTCAGGCTTGAAACTTTACAGTAAGAAAAGCATTTGTCAAGTACTCAAATTCAACAGAAAATTTGGGCTCAATTGTGATTGTAAGTCGAGGACTATCTGAATGCTAATAATTTATTTTCCTATTGTTCATATTGGAATATTTATAGATGCAACTAAAAGGGCAGCACATGGAAAAAAATATTTGATTTTCCAGCTGCAGCTGTTTATCAAGACATTTCATTTTTTACTGCTGCCTTTAGGGAAAATGTGACTCCTTCCCAGGGGACAAACGATGGTTTCCTATTATTTTAGTATGACAACATCCACTCTATTTCACTTAAGAGGTGGGGTAGAACAAGGAGAAATCCCCCCCCAAAAAACCCACTCAAAACACAAAGGCATTTGGAACATAGCTATAAATATGCCTATAGTGCCACATTAACATAGTTTTGCTCCTCAAAAATGATCATAATGACGATGTTTGTATGCTTGTATGTTAACACCTTGGACAACTAGACAGCACACTGCTCAACATAGAAAGGAAATGTATGATATAAAACAATACAAAATGTTTCAATTTTTTTTTAAAGAACAACACATCCTCTTGTTACATTGTCCAGGGAGCCGTGACTTTAGCCAGGCTTCTCAAATTACTTCGGGCACACCCCTGGCCGTCTCGCCTCCCTGTTTTCCAGCGATTTGACGACTGGGGGACGGGGTGGGGGAGGGAAGGGTTGCTTTCCGCAGAGTCCTTGCTGCGAAGCCCCCCTTTCGAGGGATTTGTGTATCCCCTTCCTCATACAATCTGACACACATACACACACACACAAACACACACAGAGATTGCGAAACTTCCGGGCGCACAGAGGAGCCTTTTGCCGCTGGGGCCGGAACTATCCACGTGAGCTTTCAGAGCAGCCGGTCCTTTGCTTTTGGGGAACCGGGCAAACAGAAGAAGGCGAGGATGAGTCTGAAGCGCCTGCCCGGACTCTTCTGTGGCGGTAAGGATGCGGCATTGAGGAAGCGCCTGCCCTCCGAGCGGCCGCTTTTGCAGGCGTTGCTGGCGGAGGGACAGGGGAGTTTTGCAGAGGGCCGGCTAGCTTTTGAAAGCGGGAAAGCGGGTGTCGCCAAGCTTGAGCGATCAGAAAAAAAATAACATTTTGTCCTTTGCTGCTGCCCGGGAATTCTAAGTAATGTTAGTTAGATGGACAAGAGGGGTGGTGACACCGGTCACGCATTTGCATACAGGAGAACGGGATTAGTGCCTGTCCCTGTTAATTGTAAAATATACAGCGATCCCAGGAAGCAAATGAAGATTGCTTCCAGGTCGATAGGGTGTTTTGTTTTTCCCAATTTACCGTGTGGGGCCTTTTGTAATCCATCATAACTGGAGGACACGTTTGAAGAAAACTCCGTCAACAGATTTGATCTAGCACCGGTTGAGGCACCAAGCTAGAAAGTGGAGCTCTGGTCTCCTTAGGCATAAAAGCCCTGGTGGGTGACCGTGGGCCGGTTTTATCTCTCAACCTTACTCGCTTCTTCACAGGGTGGTTGTGGTGGGGAAAAAATAGGAGTATTAGGTATGTCTGCTGCCTTGAGTTATTTCTAAAAAGAATAAAGGTGGGATAAAAATAATCGTGGCACGACATAACCGCGAACGTCAAAAGCACGCCGACAACACCGCGGTGCTAAAACCGCGATGTCAAAAGCGCGCCAACAACAGTGCGCCGACAACAGCACGCCGACAACAGCGCGCCAACAGAAGCGCGATTTAACTTAAGGTAAGGTTTAGGGTTAGGTTTAAGGTTAGGTTTAGGGTTAGGGTAGGTTTAGGGTTATTTTTAGGGTTATGTTACAGCGCGCTTCTGTCGGCGCGCTGTTGTCGGCGTGCTTCAGTGGTCATTCATCTCTGCGGTTTTGACAGTGCGGTTTTGTCACCGCGCTTTAGTCACACGCGCTTTAGTCTACCGCGGTTTTGTGGTGGAACCAAAATAATACTCTGATGTTAAAGGAAGGCAAAATATTCATATTTATTTTGTTATATTATGTAGCGTATACTGGAGGTGGCAACCCTTTGAGAGCTGTGTTCAGCATATGCCGAATAGTGTACATTCAAAGTGACAATAAACCTATTCTATTCTGTTCTGTTCTGTTCTGTTCCATTCCACTCCACTCCACTCCACATATTCTATTCTATGCTACTCTATTCTATTCTACTCTACCTACCCTACCCTTCTATTCCTATTCTATTCATGTAGTTGGTGGGGCCTGCGGTTATATTGGCAGCATATCTTCATGGACTATCTCCAACCAGATGTTAGGCAGTAGGTCAGGATTTTTTAAAATTTAGCAGTGAGAATGGAGCAAATTGCTTGAGTACAGTTTTGTCTGGTACGTTCACTCTGCTGTGAAGAAGCTAGGGGCTTGTAAAAATCTAGTTCCTTCATAGGTTCAGTAATGATGGATAAACGTTTCCCCAAAATCATCCAGATCGCTTACACTGTTCACTTTTATTATTGCATGCATTTTGAAGTGTTTGAGTATAGGGCAGGCTGGGCTTTGCATGGGCTTTTGGTAGAATCTTTAGAATATGTGAGTAATACTTTGAAGAATTCACATCTAAACTGAGAAAAGTGTCTTTGCATTTCTATTGGCTCTAACTTGGAACCTGGCTTCATCAGTAAATGCTTGAACTAATGTTACGGATGCTAGTGGAATGATTGAAATCTACCCTTAATTTTCAGGAAGGAGATGCTTCCTTCAGGTTCTGCTTCCTTCGTCTCAAGGTCTTTGGTATTCTAAGAAATCTACATGTGCCAGGAAACAGATTTCTCCATCAGGAACTGAAGCAAAAGATGCAATAGACAACTTGTTTTCTTCTGAACAGCAATCTGCTATTTTGCAGTTCCTCAATTCAGCATCCGAAGAAGAACTTTCTGCAGTTAAACTATTGCAAGGGAAAAAGTATCATAATGTATTGGAATATAGAAACAATCATGGGCCATTTCAGGAATTACAAAGTTTACTGCAAGTGCCTTCTTTTCGGTATAAAACAGCGGTTAAAGTATGCAACTTTATTCTCAACTCTCCAGAAAAAGAAGAGAAAAAAACATGCAATCCTATGTCTGCCAGGAAATGCATCAGTCCTTCAATTAAAAGAGAAAGGTTAAAGGTACGATTTTCAGCAGGTCTGGGTGTTTTCCTCTACATCTTAATGTAGAGTTTATCTTTGTGTAATTGAGAGCTGCTCTTTCAATGTAGCTGCCTTTCCAAAGTTTAATAATTGAATATTAAACTTTATAGTAGTGTGATTTATTTACATGGGAGAGAACAGTGGAGACTTGATTGTTACAAAAATCACTTGTGAATTATTTTGCATTTTGAGGTAGGTTGGTAACTGAGATGGGGTTGGGCAAGATAAGAAAAGCTCTGTAATTCACAGTGGTGAGTACGCAGCCTTAAATAACAAATGAACACATTCACAGTCTGCAATGCGTCCCAAATAGTTGTAAAGAGTCCTACAGTAGGCTGCCAAAGGTTTTCGGGATAAGGCTGATAAGCACCCACCTTTATCTTCCTTGAAACGCTGCCAAAGACTTAATTGGCAATTAACTTGGCAAGACCACACAGAGCAAATAGTCCAAACTGAACTTCAGAAGGTAAACTGACCAGCATGAACCAAGTTGCTTCCTGCAAAGGCTCATACGCCTTTGCTCCTCCTTTATGTCCTATGGGAGTGGCCAATCACCTTCAAGCTTTACTCCTGAGTCGTGCCTTCTGTCTTAACTGTTCTTGCCTTCTGGCAGCTCTGCGCATGCACGCACTGGGAACAAGGAGAGTCTGTTCCCCTGCCTTGCTGATGTCTGACTCTGGAGGCTCTGGAGGCAGCACATAACTCCCAGATGGCCGTGGCCCACTCTCTGCCTCCGATGCAGAGCCCTCGTCCGAGCCTTCCCCAGACTCCAGGACTGGCCCATGTTTCTTCCCAACCTTTTTGCTGTCCTTGCTCTGCAGGCCGGTGGCTGACCACAACATAAATATACACTTGATTTTAATGCATGGAAACTCAACCACCTGAGTTTATGATTGATGACCATCTTTAGGATTCATATGCCTTGAAGATTAATAACCATCCTGTCTTTGCTTTATATTTTTTAAAAATCCAAATAAATGTATGGTGTTCCAAGAATTTTGTACCTACCTATGTTCTGTAGCGATTCCATGTTCTCTAGTAAGATTAGGAAAAGAAATACAGGTAGTCGTTGACTTACAATCTTTCCTTTAATGACTTCGAAGTTGCAATGGCAGTAAAAAAAAGTGGCTCAGAGAAGTGATTTTCACATTTATGACCATTGCAACATCTCCACAGTCATGTGATCAAAATTTGGATGCTTGGCATGTTTTTATGACAGCTGCAGTGCCCTGGGGTCACGTGATCACCATATGCGACCTTCTGACAAGCAAAGTCAATGGGAAAGCCAGAATCGCTTTACAGCTGTGTTACTAACTTAACAACTGCAGTGATTCACTTAATACCTGTGGCAAAAAGTTGTAAAATGGGACAAATCTTGCTTAACAAACTGTCTTGCTTAGCAACAGAATTTTTGGGCTCAATTGTAGTCATATGTCGAGGACTTCTTGTATTTTTACTTCCACCAGAAACCTGGTGGCTGTAAATATTTAAATGCTGATAACTCTTTTTTTTTCATTTCCCCCTTCAGACTGCAAACAGTATTGTATCTATTGTTTTTGGCATGCAAAAAATTTCATGGGCTCATGTTAACAGAGATTTGATTGTGCAGAACTGGCATTTGGAAAACTACAGAAATAAGGAAGAAACATTCACACCAGCAATGTACCTTGAGACAGTAAGCCATCTTATCTTGCCTCGGTGGGATAGCCTTTTTCATTCTTGAAGTGTTACAGTTTTACAGCAGATGGGGGAGGTCTGTATGTCACACATGCAAACTCATGATGTTAGTTATAGCCACCTGCAATCTTATAGAATTGGTCTCCGATAAATAAACAGTATCATGTGTGAAGGACTTTTGTGAAGCCCTATATCATGATACTAGCTGGATACCCATACTTCGCAACAAAACCATGTGATCGGGCAATGCAAGAGAAATGTGGTTCAGTCCGGTTCAATCTGTTGGCTCAGTAGTGGTCGGTGATTGAAACACATAAGGGAATATAGCTCCCGACGCCTTGAATCCGGAAGCAGTTCCATAGGCGGAAGGTGTAGACATTTTTGTGAGGTACTGACATTTAGCACTGTAAGGAACCCCAGACCACTCCTGAGTAAAGGAGTGGAATGTATGCCAATTTGAACTGAGGCAACAGTATGTGAGGCAACTGGCAGTTGGAATAGAGCTTTCCAGGTGGGGGAGGGGGAGTAGAAGTTCTTAGCATCAGAGTGTGTTAATTACTGTATAAGAAATGCTAATGATCTGATGGTCATTTCGAAAAATCCTTTCTTAGCGAGCACCTAGAAGCCAAGAGGAATATATGTGCCAAATTTCAAATTCATAGGCTTACGGTTCTTGAAATTCCGTGATGAATGAGTGGCATTTGGCTTATATATATATATAAGCGGGCATATGCGTCCTACCCTCCAGCGACGCCTCCGCAACACTCCAGCTGCTCGCCGGAGCTTTGCGCAGGTGCCGTATGCGATGTACCACAGCTACCCACCACTGATATATATAGATTAATCTGCTACCTTATGCAGGGAACACTGGAAAGATTCTAACAATGGAGAAGAGTCTGGAAACATGATTGAAAACTGCAGGATGCCGGTTCCCTTGCAGTCTCATTTGACAGGGAGAAGAATAATCTGTTGAAAGTTAAAGCGGAATTAACCTGTCCCTCTCACCTTGTACAGATCAGCCTCAGGCAACATTGGCTTTTCAAGCATTGGGAGAAAACACTGGGCTGTTTTTTGCAAAAAAAGGGGGGCATGCAGAGGCTTTGGGAGGCTTCTAGAGTGCTGCTGGGGGGAGGGGATGGACCATTTTTTGCTCTTTTTTCCCTCTCCAGCCCCCAGGAGCACTCTGGAAGCCTCCTAAAGACTATGCACCAGTGGTGGGTTGCAGGCGGTATGCCTCGGTACAGGTGTACCATTCTGGTATGATGCTCCGGACAGCCCACCCGAGCTCCTTACCTGTCCTTTAAGCCTTTGGTGCTTTCGTGCATGCGCATGGCGCGTCTGGCACCTGTGCGATGCTCCGCCGAGCAGCTGGAACATTGCGGAGGCTTGCAGAGGCATCCCAGGCAGGTATGATGCCTGTGCCCACCCTGTGCGTCCATGTGGGCAATGCCGGGCCCGTTCCAACCATAGCGGTTGGAACGGTATCCGGAACTTATCACTGCTATGCACAGCCATTTTTGCAAAGGGGGCAAGGTTTCGGTAGGCCAAAAATGCTGTATTCAATGTATAAGATGCACTCAGATTTTCACCCTCTTTTGAGGGAAAAAGGTGCGTCTTATACTCCAAAAAATACGTTACTTAGCTATTTACTTTATCCCTTGATTTCAATGTGAACGCTAATAGAACAGGAAAAGAAGGTGTTAATCCCAAGCACAGGTAATCTTCCATTTGCAACCATCCATTGATTGACCATTCAAGGTTAAAATGGCACTGAAAAATTATGACCATTTTTGATACTTATGTCCATTACCACATTCCCAATGGTCATATGCTTGGCAACTGGCATGGATGAGTGATGTTCCCTTAGTCATGTGATCACTGTTTGCAACTTTCCGACAAGCAAAGTTAATGGGGAAACCAGATTCATTTAACAACGGTTACTAACTTAACTGCAATGATTCACTTAACAACTGTGGCAAGAAAGGTTGGAAAATGGAGCAAAACTCACTTAACTATAATCTTACTTAGCAACAAAAAATGTGGGCTCCATTGTGGTTGCACGTTGAGGACTACCCGTAGTTCTAATAATTCCATGGGCATATTATACATATGTGATTATTCTCCCTCTATCACCCACCTTTGTTTTAGGCAGCGGATTCCAACCTTTCTGGCTCCCAGTGGCAGAGAGAGGGGATGGTTTTGCATGCACACCTGCTGCTTGCACAAATGGAGCTTTATGCGCTTGCGTACTCACCGACTTGCCTACCATTTGCACAGCCCGGTACCCAATCACAGCCTAGGGGATGGGAATCTGTTCTAGAGTGCACCTTAACTTTTTGCAGGGACATGCACAAAAATAGCCTCTAGTGTGTTCACCTAGCAAAAATCTGCCAGATCTGTAGCTCACTTTTGAGTAGAATATTTCCATCTAGATATCAATGGAGATTCTCAGTGATCCAGGTAATGGTTGTCCCAACGGTGCTTTTTCAAGAAGCAATTGGACTTTCTGGTTTTTCTTTCTTTGAAGACATTTCACTTCTCATCCAAGAAGCTTCTTCAGCTCTTGGATGAGAAGTTTCTTCTCATAGCTGAAGAGGCTTCTTGGATGAGAAGCGAAATGTCTTCAAAGAAATATCAGAAAGTCCAGTTGCCTCTTGAAAGAGCACTTTTGAGATTCCCATCTAGTTTTTGATGGACCCAATCCATTCTCTACCAAGTTAAATCATGAGTTTGTATACTTAGTAATTGAAAACTGCCTTTAAGGTACAGTTCAAAATAATTTCATTGTAGTATATACATTTCTAGTAGATTAATGTAACCAATGCATGCTTTAGGATTTGTGGTGCTGCATTGTTTGAGTTTGATAAAACTAACTTACACTTGTTTGTTTCAGGTATCTACTATAATATCCAAGATTCCTGAAGCAGACTTTTATGTTTTGGAAAAAGTTGGACTTCCTCCCACAAATGCTGCCTTGTTTCCAGTAACGTTGCATCTTCGTATAATGGAAGCTGTACTTTTTGCATTATTGCAAAAACGTTTTGGAAAGGATGGGGAACCCCAAGTGCTGAGCATCGCCCGGAATGCTGTAGGCAAATATTTTGGGCTGATGTTGGGAGAGGCACGAATTAGTGGAGTGGACCTTGTAAAACAATTTCTGGATTCTGCTACACAAACATCCCGTGTGAGCTTTGCAAGCAGCGTAGTTGCCAGGTATATGCATATATTATCAGGTAATTCATGGAAAAGAGAGGAGGAACTATGTGATTCATTATTGCAGGCAATAGCTTTTTATGAGCTTCTGGTATTGGACACTTATGAAATGTCTTAAGAATCAAATAAATTAATGATTGTGTGACTTCCGGATCGTACAATAAATCTGTGACATTTGATGTAACATTACAAAAGTTGAAATAATCTTTAGGTGTTAATGTCAAAATTATTTCCTGTTCTCAGGAACCTATCTTAACGCTCTCTAACTTTAGGTAACAATTGAATGCATTCAAAATGAAAGAATTATATAATGAACATGTTTTGGATCAGTGACAAGTAATAAATAAGCAACCTGTAAAATGTTTCAAAGCCATATTGTATGCCTGGGAGAAGATGCCAAGTGCATAACCTCAGGTTGCCAAGAGGGGTGTTTTGTTTTTTTAAAGAGGTTTTAATGATTATTTTTCCACTTGGCCAACTGACATGCAATAGACTTTAGGAGTTACCAAGTATGGAAATATTACTTTCTTTTATTCTAATCTAAACAACCTTCATTATTAAGGTTAAAAGTAGTACAAGGAACATAGGAATTACCTAGGGAGAAATGAGTAGGGGAGCCTAAAATTTGCATTTTTACATCACAAAATCACCATATAAAAAGTTATGCCCTTCCTTCCAGATATTTTATTTTATTGCAGGGATAGAAACTTTTAAAAAACAAGCGTTGGTACGGTACAATAATAAAATAGTATAAAAAGATGTACAGAAATGCAGACAAACAGCTACAAAGAGCTGTTAATGTAACAAAGGGATTTACAAAATTCAGTTTTCCCTTACAGATTTTGCCCACTAGAGACAAATGTACAGGTCTGCATATTTGCAGATGCATGCAACACACCAACCACTTCAATCTAAAATAGGGTAATTGTTGAGTGACACCTGTTAATATTTGGTTAATCTGGATCTGTTGTTAGATCAATTCAAATAGATGCTTTTTAAAAAGTTTATCACTACATCAACTTATTGACTTGAAAAAGTTGTGGTTTTCTGGTATTAAGATGTTTATTAACATTAGAAAGACTCATCTTTTCCAAGTCAATCACCTGATTGTATTGTTCAGCTTAAAGCTAGTTTTTTAAAGGATCTATTTGAATTGATTTACTGTTATACAAATTAAAAGCGACCAGTTGGTATATCTGCATCTTTCATAAATAAAGATTAAAAATATAATCGTCTTTTGAATATACATTTGTATTTACAATGTTATTCTTGGCCACTGTTTTAAGGAAAGTCAGTTGCCAGGCTGTTCAAAATTTCTTTAGGAAGATGAATCCCTTCCAGATAGTGGAGAAACCTGTTTGGGGGGAAAGAAATAATAGTTTAGTTTCAGTATGAAGATGAAAACATCTTGATCATTTTTAACCAGATTACTTTATAACCTGGATGGCAAACCTATGGCACATGTGCCACCTGTGGCACGCGTAGCCATTTGTCAGGGCACGTGAGACGTTGCCCTGTCAGCTGGCCAGCGTGCATGCGTGCGCTGGCCAGCTTAGTTGACCCTTTTTTAAAGCCATTTTTCACCCTCCCCAGGCTCCAGAGGCTTTATAGGAGCCTGGGGAGGGCGAAAAGAGCTTCCACCCCTGAGGCCCTCTGGAGGCTTCAGGAGCTTCCCTGAAGACCCCGGACCACAAAAAAATTGGTTCTATGGGCAAACTGGAAGTTCGGGAACGGACTTGGTTTGGTTTGCTTGTAGGGTCCTTTTCAGGTCCCCGAAGGCTACAAAGGGCCCCCAGGGGGGCAGGGGAGGCTGTTTTCGCTCTCCCCAGGCTCCTATAAAGTCTCTGGAGCCTGGGGAGGGCGAAAAAAAGCATGCAAAAAATGGGGGAGTGCATCTCATGCGCACTGGGGGTATCACACATTGCATTATTGGTGTGGCACACCCGCGCATGACCCCCCTGCGCTCCCTCCCTTATGGGACATGAGCCAAAAAAGGTTCTCCATTGCTGCTTTTGTCTGTAACTCAGATACATGCATATATGGTATTCCAACACACCAGAAAGTAAATCGTTTTGAATTCAATGATTTACTTCTATAGAAGTCTGTTGAGCAACTTTAGCTAACTTACCTCCTTTTTGTCTTCCCCTGTTGTTTCAGTTTCTCTGATTTACAAATGTTGCGAAGAATCGGCAGATATTCCATGACACTGGCTTGTCTGCTATTCAGACTTAAAGGTGCACTGGAAAACACATTTTTAATTAAATCTATCCTCTTCTGTGCATTATAATGAACACTGTAAAAAAGAAAGTATATAATATATTTTTCAGAAGTGAATATTTATAGCAGATTGCTGAATTAACATCTTAAGTTTCTTAATCTTTTCCTTGTACTATAACAAAAGCTGAAGTATCCTTTTTAAAAATGAAAGTCTCAGGAATCATGTAATAAGCAGAGTTTAAGCCTGGATATTCAATGTAAAAGACATGTAAAAGACATACAAACAAATAATGCTAAATTTTCCATTCTCATTTTACTACTTCTAAAGCCCTAAGTTAAAGAGGAGCGGCTTGGACTTGTAAAATTTTTCTCCCATATTAAAGATTACTTCTAAAATAATTCTGTTGATAAAACTGTTCTCTTCCACCTTATGGAAGAGCCATGGTGGTGCAAGTGGTTAGAGTGCAGTACTGCAGGCTACTTCTGCTGACTGCCAGCTACCTGCAATTTGGCAGTTCAAATCTCACCAGGCTCAAGGTTGACTCAGCCTTCCATCCTTCCAAGGTTGGTAAAATGAGGCCCTAGATTGTTGGGGGCAATATGTCGACTCTAAACTGCTTAGAGGGGGCTGTAAAGCACTGTGAAGTGATATATAAGTCTTCCAAGTGCTATTGCTATTATAAATTAATGTGACAATGTGACGGTATCTGCCTTTGTTGTCTTCAGTTTAAAATTCAGCAAGAGAAATTAATATCCAGGCCTTAATCAAAATAATATAAGCTCTTTGTTCTCTTTAGGTTCTTCTGCTTTACATGGTAAGGACACTTTCCCCCCATTTCATGCTTTAAAATCTAAGAAAAAGTTTTGACTTTACCTGGAATTAGCTGCTGACTGGCCAAAGTATAAATCAGCTCGTTCTTTTGAAACATGGAGAGTGAGTTCTTCAAATTCATTCTTCCCAAGAGTTTTAGTACAGTTCAAGCAATTTTCCATGATTTTTAAAATGCTCTTAGAGCATTTGTTAAAACTTAATGCCTCCATTGTTGCTTTTAGTTCACAAAAGCTTTGAGAACTCCACCAGTCAGTGTGCTCCACACTAAATTCATCAGAGAGACCGTTTTTTATCTTCCCCTTAGTCCAAATAAAATCTCCATATTTGCTGGCCTGCTTTGATGCCTGGGTGGGTTCAGTGAAACAACAATCCAATAGAGACATATTGTCCAGGTATTCAGTTAAGGAATTTAAACATTGGGATACCAATACAGAATCTTTTGCACTGACAGATGTCCCATCCTTCGGTGCCACTGGGCCAACATTCATAGGTTCCGCTGGGCCTGTTTGTTCTAAGCATGAAGCGCTTGTGTCAGGGGACAGTGTAACAAACCCAGAGTAATTTAATTCACGTTCAAATAAATCGCTATCCTCCAATACAGCTATTTTTTTCTGACATTTTGATCGTTTAGCCTTTTTCACAGGAGGGGCTCCCTCTAAGCAGTCAATCTCAATGCACGTACTACTCAATGCCTTTTCTGCAATAAAGCTACATGCAGGACTGGCTATTTCAATTGCTTCTGGAATTATATTAAGAGGCAATGATGAGATGATTTCAAGGTTGCTATAAGTTAAGTCTGTATTCCTCATCTGGAATTCTGTGAGCAGATGTATCAGTTTATTCCAGTCTTCTTTTGTTCCGATTTCATGCTGTAGAGAAAACATGTTCATTATCATTAATGAAAAAGAGATTTGGAGCCTACTTGATTTTAAGGGCTGTCTTTAATCATGCCAGAAATAGTTAATAAAATCAAATACACAAAATCTCCCGGAAAAGGACATTTTGAGTTTTTAAAAAGTAATTTTCAAATGTGGTTACTTAATTCTGTAGAATTAAGTTTGTTATAAGTTCTGTCTTTTAAATGACCTTTTATTCATACAGGTAGTCATGGACGTACATCTATTCATTTAAACACCTTTGAAGCAGAGGTGGGTTGTTCCCAGCTAGGCCCGGATCGGGTGAACCGGTAGTGGTGGAGGAAGGAGGCTCCACCCACCCGCCCAGATGTTTCTGCACATGTGCACAAGCATTGTGCGCACACACGAGCAAACCAATAGTAAAAATAATGGAAACCCACCACTGCTTTGAAGTTACCACCGTGTTGAAAAATGACTTACAACTAGTCCTCACATTTATAACTGTTGCAGTGTCACAAGGTCGTGTGATTACTATTTGTGACCTTCCCGGGGTGCTCCCATGAACAAAAGTCAATGGGAGGGAGTCAGGCTGGCTCTAGTGCTCAGGATGGCTACAAGACAAACATTCATTCTTGGCACATTTAAGATTCCTAGCTGCAATCCACAGTAAACCTAGGATTGACCCCGGGCGCTTCTCTCTGCTAACAGGTGGCCAAGCTAAGTGCCTGAAGGACCCCATCTTGTCAATAATTCATACCAGTGGTCCACGGGATTTAAAATTATGAATTTAGTGGTCCCTGAGGTCCAAAAGGTTGGTGACCCCTGCTGTAAATGCATAAAAATGCTGGTTTGGATTTGTGAGGTTGGGTGGGGTGGGGATGGAAGAAAGCCAATGCATTAGGAAAAGGAACTGTCTTTTAAAAGTGAAGCCCTGACTCAAACCACTCCCCCCTGTGAGCGGAAGTAGCTAATTAGCAGACCAGCAAAAGAACAAGCATTCCTCATCCTACAACTATTCATTTGGTGACTGTTCAGTTACAACAGTGCTGAAAAAAGTGACTTACGGCCACCCTTAACAACCGTTGTTGCAGGATCTCCATGGTTACTTGATCAAAATTTAGTCCCTTGGCAATTGACTCACATTTATGATGGTTGCAGTGTCCTGGAGTCACATAATCCCCTTTGGTGACAAGCAAAGTCAACAGAGCAACCAGATTTGCTTAAGAACCATTTTACTAATTTAACAACTGCAGTGTCTCGCTTAACAACTGTGGCAAGAAAAGTGGTAAGATGGGGCAAAAATGGGCTTGGCGACTGTCCTCCTTAGCAATGGAAATTTTGGGTTCAATTGTCGTAAGTCGAGGACTACTTGTACCAAAGCCTAGGTGGCTATATATATATATATAGCCACCTAGGCTTTGGTACAAGGCTTGTACCAAAGCCTAGGTGGCTATATATATATAGCCACC